TACTGAGAAACAGACTGATTCCCTCAAAAGGTCACTGGGTTCTTGAGGAGGGCGAAAAGGGCGCGCTAGGGGAGTCGCATTTCCCCCTTAGCGCACCCTTTCCGCCCTCCTCACGAGCCCACATCTAGGTTCAAAAACCTCGTCTCGCTTTCCAATATGGTGAAATCTATGGCTCAGACACTAGTGGCAAGATGGTGTGTAACACAAAAATAAAGGAATATGCAGACGAAACGTGGCGGATATGCATCAAATAGGACCCTGAACATTGCTTATATGTGCATAAGGTGAAGAATGCGCGTCATCGGACGGATTCCCTCCGGTTGGTATCACCTCTTTCCTCTATCAGCTCACTCACCGTTCGAAATGGATGGATCTGGCAGAGAATAATCGCGCCACGATGCATTTGGAAATGAAAGGTGGGCGTTGGGGTGGCCAGTGAGTGGGCGATAACTTCGTCGTGAGAGGTTAGCGCTCTGCTCACTATTTTTGGGCTGTGAAATGAGCACATCCTCCTTGCTTGCGTACGGGACTGCCATACTCGAAGGAGCACCTGAACACCGGATAAAGCAGAGCATGCCTTCAGGGAACTGAGCCGTGCACGTGTCTGATATGGGTTCAATCTGATGATACCAACGCTTCATCGGAGCTGTACTTACAGGCTGAATTCACGTGGCAGCTCCAAAAGGCTTCTAGTTTAGCTACTGGTGGTCTCTCCTATCCGGCGCTAGTTTAGCTCAGGTCCATTACCATTGAGCAGTTGCGGAATGAGGTGTCGTATAGTGCACGTTAGCGCGTGATACCTCAAGGGTTGACCGTTAGCAGTAACTTCTTCAAGTTGATGGCCACACTAGTAATGGATCAAAATTGCAAGGAGAAAACGAAATTAGTTAAGCTACATTATACTCTGCGATGGAGTGATTTGAAATGAATCAAAACTGGAGCTTCTGTATTATAAGAGAAGTGTTTGTGCTTTCGGGTCTCCAAGAACGAGTCTATCGAAAACCATTGGCTGTCAGAATGAATTTTCCAGTAGCCATTTCTTCGTAAGCCATTCATCTCAACCGAATCCTTAGATAGCGATCTACCTCCCCGTCTTCCGACAAACAGATTGTAGTTCTTTTTGATTGGCCAGCATTATTTCATAACAATTACAAGTGAGATGCGCAGTTTTTTCGAATGATTTCACAAAAGTGCAGTGTGTTTTCAAAATTGATTTAATGCATAGAATTGCGCAAGAGAATCTACAAAGAAAGGATATGTCAACCTTTGCACTGAGCTGTTGAGTGAGAATCAAGCAAAAGATTGTCGTCTATTGAAGTTATGGATATTGATCGGATTAGGTCGTTTGTGGGCGGATTATGATCCTGCTCGTTGGCAGGCTGTACGACTTGTGGCTTATGCTAAGGTTAGTATTTGAAGCATCCAATACTGCCCTCAGTAAGTTTTCTAAGCGTTAAACTATTTTGGGTTCTGAAAGAACTTGATGACAACGCCCCTGAAGTCCGTGCTGCCGCTGTTTACGCTTTGGGATGCCTTGTGAAGAATCGTTCTGAAACAAATGAACACGCAGCAACGGTTCGTTTTTTCGTTCATGCTATGGTTTTGGGCTATCTACTTCTGTTCAGATTGACCAGGAAATATGTGACGACTTGTGCAATAAGTGTACAAAAGATGGATCTGTTCTTGTACGGGAAGAACTACTAGTTGCCCTACAGGTGATTAATTTTTTTCTTTGCATTCATATTTTCACCCTCTAAAACTTGTTATGATCTGCAAATCGATTTCACACCCATTTTATTTTCACTTCAGTGGTACATCATTGACTTCGAGCAACGGTTCGCAAAAATTTTCTGGGATTTGTCTGAGAATCTTGGCATTGAAATGATCCCCGATAAGCAAGAGGACCACTTTGAGCACAACGCGAACGATATTGCAGCCACAATCAGAAATAACGATTCAAATGGACCTATGTCTATGTACACGTTCGTATATACTGATCATAATCATATCGATTTTTTTGTATGGTCTATTCTGTCAGTTGGTTTTTTTTTCAGAGGAGGAGGTAGGAAGACATCTGTGTACAGAAAGATGCAGAGAAACGAGGTTACGGCGATTGAGGAGGTATGTGGAGCACTTGTTTGTTGTTTTCTATCCTATTGACATTCCTGTGCAGGGACTGGGTTAGATGCGGTTCGGCTTGGAGGGGGCACCTATTGGTACTGAGCAATGCGTGTACAGGTCACATTGGGGAAAATCGCGCGTTCCTGTAAGCGAAGTAGCTCACTTGTACCATTTCATAGATTGCAAGAGATCATAGGTGATTTAACATGAATTAGCAAAAGAAACTGGCAGAACTGGGAATTCCTGCTCACTGTCCCGCCCATCCCCACACCTCCGCGACTGAACAGCGCTCTGGGTTGTTTATTGAGAAGAATCACTGAGTGTGCATTCATACTTTGCCAACATGGTGTATTGGTTCACTAGAAGGCTG